TCACATTGTTGCTTCTTACCGGGCTCATCAGAGAAGACTTCAGGAAGGGTGGAGAGAGATGCAGATGCTGTCACTAGACAAGTAGAAGGAAAGATAGCATGTCAAACAAGCTAAAGCAGCAGAAGGAAGTGTAATCATGCCAGGTGTGGGGTCCCCGTTACAGGCAGGAAAAGCAAAGGGAGCTAGGTTAACTGTTGTTTGCAGTGGGAAGACCTGGGGTTGGATCCATGTGTGGCTCCCTGGAAACCAGATGGCAGATTTTGACTTAATTCAGTAGGGACCCCCCCCCCCCCGTGTGGTTGAAGAAGGTGGAACAGGAAGCTGCAGTTTAAAAGGATTAATTGGGAGGGCCCTCAGCTGAGGCTAGGTACCAGGGCAGAAGACTTAGCAGACATGATGACTGGAGTCTGGCTTACGCCAGAGAGGGTGATTCTGAGAGACATGTCACACAGCCAAGCAAGACATTAGGATCAAAAGCAAGGTGGTGGATTAGATCTAGAAAAAGCAAGGAGGGGAATGTCCCAGATAATCTGAATTTTCTGCCCTGAAGCCAGCAACATAGTAATCAACACCCAGAAAGTGGGTAGTGGAAAACAAAACAGAAACAGTTCTGTTTGTGTCAGAATTGCAAAGTAAGAATTAACTTATAACGCAGCCTACTTTAGTGAGCTCTTAGGATCTCACATGTTCTAAGATAGTACAGCGAACAGTAAACATAGCTTACAGTTGCTGTGTTTAGGTAAAGCCAGGGCAGCCTACAAGCCTTGTCCAGTAGATACTTGAAAATAAATAACCAAGGATTCAAATGAGAAGCATCTGAATGTACCCACCCCTCCCACAGACAGCAGGATCACGAGTAACAAAAGAGGAATATTTCCAAAGGGTTGGCGGAGAGAGGAGAGTCCGGACACCGAGGCTCTGCGACACGTGGTTAGAGGGAGATGGGGGGGGGGGCATTGGAGACAAGACAGAGACAGGAAGGAAGCAGTGTTTGCTGCTCACCTGTGGGGAAACTCCAGGCCTGCTTATGGCGGGCGGGAAGCAGGACACCTCAGCGGTGGTAAGGTGTGGGTGGGGATTGTGCTTCTTACACACAAATTCGGGCAATTGAACAGAGCCCACACTCTCCTCTCTCTCTGACTTGGAGATAAGAGATTGTTAACCCTGCTCAGGATGAAAAGGGCCAGAGCCCCTGGAACTGGAAATGACTGCCACCCACTTTGCCGTGCTGTGACGACTCCAAGGCCCCTCGCTCCCTGGCCTTCTGCTAATTAAAGCACTGCCCATCGCAGCAGCATCCCCTGAACTGGCCCCTCTTCCTATTGGCAAAGCTGGGGATCCCTCTGCATCGCCCAGCTTCACTCAGACCCAAAGGGGCTCTGGGTACCCTGCCTTTGGGGTGGCGGTGTGTATTTTGCAAGTGTTTTTAGGCTCCATTGGTGTGCGGTATGTGCTCTTCTGTTGTAGTTAGCAGTTGTTAGGCCTCAAACAGCTCTCCAGATGAGGACATGTGACACTCGTGCTGTCACCGAGAACAAGGGGGAGATGCCCCAGAGGCAAGAGAACAAACCCATAAGAAACCGTGGCTAGTCGGCGAGCCGGGGAGTGTTGGAAGTCTAATCCACCGTCCAGTTTCTCTGTTATCCAGTCGGTTCTCTCAACAGTCTCCTGTGGCTCTGAGCTGGAGTCGGTCGGCCAGAAGTGACACTTCTGCCAGCCCATGACAACTCCAAAAGCAGCATAGAGCTGGGAGCCTGTCAAGTCTTAACTAATGAGATAGAGGTCCCTTGAGCAAATAGCACTCAGGCCAAGAGCAGAGAGGCAGGGATTAGCCACAGGGTGGCCGTGGGTGTGACCATTCTATCTGGGATTTGCCTTCTTCCGGGTCTCTAGCTCTAGCTTGACCCAGGTTAAGCACTTACTGTACCTGTAGCCCTGTGGGACTCTGTAGGTGGTGTTATCTGATGACCTCGGGCAGGCCCATCTCAGACCCCCCCCCCCCCGTCAGAGCCACGATTAGGGCTAGGGACTTTGTACTGTCTGAAGCTGGAAAGCCAAGACGGGAAGAAATGGAAGTGAGGAGAGGAATAGCAAAGCGAACTCTGATTGGTTCTTTTCATTAGTAACTCATCATCGCTTGAATCTCATCTTTTGTCTTCTTTGGAAAAGAAAACATCTTCAAAGAAATTTCTGGAAAAAACAAAGCAGGTGTGGTGGTACACACCTTTAATCCCACCAAGTAGAAAGCAAAGGAAGGTAGATGTCTTGAGTTCAAGACCAGCCTGGTCTATATTGTAACTTCCAGGACAGCCAGGGCTGCACAGAGAAACCCAGTCTCAAAAAACAAACAAACAAACAAACAAACAAAATTGTGTTGGAGCTGGAGAGAGGGTTCAACGTTTAAGTTTCCCAAAGACCTGGGTTCAGTTCCAGCATCCATGTCAGGTGGCTGTACAGCCTCCTCTAGCCAAACTCCAAGTAAGTCCACGCCCTCCTCTGGCTTCCAAGGACACCAGCACATAAGTGGTCCACATGCACCCAAATAAAAAAGTCTTTAAACATTTCGGCTGAAGGTAGCTGCTAAGAATTTGAATAAAGCCATCCTTTATTTTTTACCCATCTAAACACCTGTTGCTTGGTGTGGGAAAAAAAAATTGTATGTCTTATAGATAAATAATACAAAATAAATGTTCTTAAGCCCTTGCTAATCCTGTCAAAGACCCATTCGATTATATAGACTTCATTCTTTTATGTCAGAGCGTACATGTTATTATCTTTACTGTCCCTATAAAATGAGACAGCAGTAGAGCAGACTAGTGTAGCTAGCTGATATGTTTACTTTTTAAAACCTAAAATCATAAAAGCCTTCTTTCAGAAAATCCAAATGAAAGGCCCATGTGGTGGAACACATGTTTAACCCACCACTTGGGCAAGGAGGACCAGGAGCTGAGGGTCACAGCGTCCTCAGCTGCTTGAGACCCCGTCTCAAGGAAGGGAGACCGAAGGAAATCTGCCCAGATGTGTTTCCAGGGCCCTGCACACAGACCATGATTGCATGAGTCCAAGCCTGCCATTTGTGGGACAGGAGTTTTCTGCACACCAGAAAAAAATAATGATTCCATCATACAGGATGGATTTACTATGCCTTTATTTATTTTCTTTTAAACATGAGAATTCCAGGGCAGTCCAGTCTTGACACCGAGGGAAACCTATCACTTTCACCCCAGTGGCTTGGCGTCCAAGCTGCATGGACAGAATGCCCAAGGACAGAGAGCTAAACTTTAAAACAAATGAATGCTCAGAGATTCCCATGCCACACAGACAATGGCCAGCACTTCAGATAGAAACAGATACACTTGAAACGTACTGTGGAAGAGTAGAAGAAAACTCTCAAACTGCTTGTCCACTCCAACGTTAACGGGAGGTGCCACAGGGGAATCGTAGCATTTCATAGCGGCACAAAAGAGATGGGGAAGAAAACTACATTGCTAGAAAATGCCAGGGTATATTTGCTAAAGTTGTCACCATGTACTGTATTTAAAATTAAAATGTAATTGCTGTAATTTATCATGTCTAGCTATAAAAAAAAACCCTCCATAATTTAAAGATTTAATCATTTGCCACTTTTTCACAGTGACTTTTCATAGATGATACTGTGAAAATTCTGATTTTTATCAGCCTTTGTATGCTTTTTAGGGGCTCCTAAGCATAATTAGTATGCCTCAAGCATATCATTATTTACATAACTAATGCAATATCCTTATATTTTTCCTTTAGTCTGTTCAAGAAATGTCCAGAACTGCTTTGTAGTTACTGATCCTAACATAAAAACACAGGCTGCTGGGTCCATCTTAACCTGTCCACATATTTCCAACCATGTGACGAGCAGGAGAGAAGATGATTCTCCACTGCTCAGAGACACGTTTGCCCCTTGGTCCTGAGGAGTCAGAGTCGTAAGGCTGTCCTCACAGTGAGCCCTATCAAACATCATTCAGTTGAACCCTCTCTGCCTGGAAAGAGAAAGGAAGGGAGGAAAGCCACCATACAGTGCAGAATAAAAACTTTCTGGGGATGAAGATGGCTGTGGAGAGAGACAGTAGAGGGAAGGGAGGGACTGGCCACACAGGCAGGGTCGTTTCTCCACAGAGGGCACAGGGATCCATTCACCTCCGCCATAGGAAGAGCTGGAACTTTGGTGGATTTATGGCATCTCGTAAGGCCAGTCTATGATTTTAGGTACCATAGGACACAGAAGAACAGCATGATAATTTAATCCTATATGTTGTATTAAAATATACATAATACGGTTTTAGTCACTGTCCTATTGCTGTGAGAGACACCATGACCATAGCAACCCTTATAAAGGAAAGCATTTAACTGGGGCTGGCTGCTGTTTCAGAGGCTCAGTCCATTATCATGGCAGGGAGCCTGGTGCTGGACAAGTAGCTGAGAATTCTGTATTTGGATCCACTGGGCCTGGCTTGGGCTTCTGAGACCTCAGACCATCCCCCCCAGTGACACACCTCCATCAGTGAGGACACACCTCCTAGTCCTTCTACGTAGAGCCACTCCCTGATGACTAAGCATTCAAATATATGAGCCTGTGGGAGACACACACACACACACACACACACGCACGCACGCACGCACGCACGCACGCACGCATGCACGCACGCACGCACGCTGCTCAGGAACTATACTGTAGACCAATCCCATACCATTCAGTGTGATTGCGGATTCATGTTCAAGAAGCCAGCTCCCCTCTTTGCTGAGATATTAAAGGTTTTGAATTCGAGCCCTTTGGATGGAAAATTAAAGTGATTGCTTAAAGTCCCAGAAGCCAGGCCTAGGCCGTACATCATCTCAGCCCTGGGAATTCCTTTCCCCACTCCTTCCTGTCCTCTCAACCTGTCCCCTAAGATGACTTTCCAGTACTTCCTCCTCCCTCCTCGCCCAGCACGGGCTTCCCCCTCATAAATAACCAGGTCTTCGTTCTGCAGGTGCAAAGTTTCCCATTAAGTGGACAGCCCCGGAAGCAGCCCTCTATGGAAGGTTCACAATCAAGTCTGACGTGTGGTCTTTTGGAATCTTACTCACAGAGCTGGTCACCAAAGGAAGAGTACCCTACCCAGGTAAGAGCACAAACCTTGGAGACAGATGTTCGGTTCCCCCTTGACTTCATTTTATAGAAATCTTGCCCAGTTGCCTTTCTCAGCCCTGTGCTCAGCCTTCTGCCATGGTATTTAGCCAGAGGAATGCAGAACCAAGAATCACCATGTCCTGAACACCAAGCCTAATGTGCCAGCCAGCCGTATAAATGTCCCAGTTCCCACAGGTCATAGAGTTTGTCCTGTCTCAGTAGGGGCATGTGTCATGCCTCCCAGAGCAGAAATGTCACTGGCTGAGCCTCTGCCCAAATGCAATGTGTAGACATGTCTAGAGAGAGAAGGAGAAAAGTCCCTGTTGCCTTTTGATCACACTGTAGAAGAGTCTGGCAGGAAGATATGAGAACCTGTTCTCTCTGAAGCTCCAACCCCAGATGGCCCCAGGGCAGAGGCTCAGGCCAGGCACTCTCTGCCTGTTGCTGGATGGCCAAAATACACTGCACGAAAGGGGGTAAATCATAAAGGACCTGGAGCTGCAGCTTGAGTTGTTCGGATTATTATATGCTTCCTCTCCGAAGAAGCTATGGGTTAAGGTCATGCATGCTTAAATTCATTAACTTAGCCAGAGGAAGGCAGGACGCCGGTATCATTTCACCTCCACACTTTCCTGGTTACAGGGTGGGGACGGTCTGCTTTTTGAAATGTTAAGGACATATTTTTTACTTACTGCTGAGCAAAGAAAGAGCATTGCTGGCTCGCTCTCTTCATTCCCTGCCTTAAAAAAGAAGAAGAAGAAAGAAGAAAAGAAAAAGCCCACAGTGATGGAAACGATGGTGGAGATTAATGAGGAATGTAGGTCTCTTCAAATCCTGGGCTTGTAATCATATCTTTGCAGTCAGAGGAGCCAGCGAGAGCCGATTAATTTGTAATCCCTTTGTTCATTTTGTCTGATTGTTTCTGGTCATCATCAGAGAACAGAGCAGTGTTCATAAAGGGTCTCTCTGTGTAGGCTAGGACAGCCTCAAGGCCTCTAAGAGAGTAAGGTTGGCACTGAGGCAAAATTAACAAAGTCCCAGCCTCTGAAGCCCCAGAGCCGGCGTCTGGGGGTGTGCTGTAAGTCTGGATTATTGATGCTGCTGTAGCGCTGCCTCTGGCAGGCTCAAGTGGGCAGGCACTCTGGGAATAGTCAACCAGCAGAGAAGAAAGGGCTGCCCACGAGGGGGCGGGGCCCAGCATGCCTGCTTTTGAATTGCTTCTCAAGGAGGAAAATATACGATCTCCAGATTTTGAAGATGAGAAAGCACTTTTACAAAACAATATTGTCTACATTTTGAACTAATTTCTTCCTGATCTCCCCAGGTTTGTAGACACCCGGTGTGTTAAAAGCAATCACTGGGAAAGGTTAATGTTGTTTTGCATTTCTGTGAAACCTTCGCTTCCCCTTTAATACAAAGCAGCTTTTGGTTTCCTGGGTCACACAGGACAAAGAGGTGGGTGGGGGTGAGGACCTCAGAAGAGGAAGACAGGTGTCTTTGGAGACAGGTTTTTGTCAGGTTGGGTTTTAGCACAAAGAAAACACAAGTTAGATTGGATTCGTTCAGTGTGACCTGAGCCTTTTGTTCCCTTGGGAAGTAGTACAAAATGAGCCATTTGGCTCTCAGGTGGCAGCTGACAAGTTCCTGTCCCAGAGCAGCACTGTTCCTGCTGGAGGGAGGACAGTGAATTGAGTCAGGAAATAAATGGAGTTTATCGTCGGGGAGGGCGAGCATCACATCCCGGGCGCAGTCAGCCTGATGTTTGCCGTGTTAGGATAGATCACTAAAGTACACTGTGTGTACCCAACCTTCATCCCCAGTGTGTGACCAAAGCAGGGACAGAAACAGGCCCTTCATTGAGAGAACCACGGAGAGAGCAGAGGGGTTTGAAGTGAGAACTGTGTGCAGCGTAGTATGTGGATTTATGCCTGTCAGCAAATGCTGATCCGCCATCGGCTCCCGGAACTGCCCCTGTCTTCAGGGGCCACGGGGAGGGAGAAAAATCATCCACACCATAGAGGGTTCACTCACGGTGAGGAGGCTGAGTCCTGCCTGGCACCTGAACGCAGCAAAGATTCGCCTGAGCCTATGGAGCTGAAGGAGGGTCTGAGAAGATGGTGTGGCAGAAGTGCCCGAAGCTCCTGGAGAGGGGTGGGGCCAGCTGGGGGGGGGGGCTGGAGAGGCCGTGGAGCCTGGCAGGTTGATAGCCCAGGGAGCTGTGTCAGGGATGGAGTGACATGAGCTGCCTACACCACAGAGGGCTGTTCCCAGACCTGCTCTGATGGCCATAGACACTGCTTGATTTGATTTTTCAACTCAGCTATAATCACATTTAATTGGACTTCTGAATGTGACAGAAAACTCTTCTTGAGGGAGAAGTTCTTCAGAGGGCTTGCAATTACAGGGTTATTATCCTAACAGAGGGAGCAGTTCCAGGGGACAGACGGTTTCATTAAGCACTACAGATGTCACCGTGGTTGCTGGTGGCCCAGGCAGTCAGCATGTGCTGAGCGGTCACCTCACTTCAGCTCTCCTGCCCCACCCGCCTCTTGCTCCCTGCCGGTTCGAATCTAGGACAGAGTCCCAGGCCCTGTTTACCAGACGCTCCCATTCTGCACTTCGACATGACAATTTCTCAGTTGCCTGGAATGTACTTTCAAGTAATTCTCTTGTCTAGAGAATCCTTTCCAACCTCAGAATGGTTTGTCACCGTGTCACATAGGAAAGGTGCTCTCCCCCGTAAGTGACGGGGAGTGATTTATAAACAAGTGAAAGGCGTGACCAAATGAAGGGCAGACTAGAGCAGAGCGCATGCACAGGTAGGGTAGCGCTTGCTGAACGGGCTGCAGGTACTGTCACAACACACAGCTCTGTTGGCTGCCGTGGCTGCCGCAGCCTGACTCTCGCTGCTGCAGTGGGGCTTGCTTTCTGCACGCAGGATTTTAAGCTGTTCTGTGCGTCAAGGTTAGAACTGCTTTTATACTAAGGGGTTGTAGGACACGAGAAACGGTGACACTGAAGCCCAAGCTGTTTCCTGGGCTCCGTGCATAAAAATCACAGCTTTGCATTTTACCCTGCCACTCATTTCACGTCCAGAACCTTTCTGGGATTCTTTCTTCCTCTGCCCTCATTGCCACTGTCCATATCAAGCTGTCACCGCTGGGTAGTGCCTCCTCATGGAACTTCCTGCCCTTGGCCCCTCCCGGCCTCCCCCCTTCCTGCCCTTGGCCCCTCCCGGCCTCCCCCCCTTTTGCCCTTGGCCCCTCCCGGCCTCCCCCCTTCCTGCCCTTGGCCCCTCCCGGCCTCCCCCTTCCTGCCCTTGGCCCCTCCCGGCCTCCCCCTTCCTGCCCTTGGCCCCTCCCGGCCTCCCCCTTCTGCCCTTGGCCCCTCCCGGCCTCCCCCCTTCCTGCCCTTGGCCCCTCCCGGCCTCCCCCCTTCCTGCCCTTGGCCCCTCCCGGCCTCCCCCCTTCCTGCACCATTCTGTCCCTGTCACCAGCAGAAATGTTATCCTGGGAAGCAGACTAGTTATCTCACTCTGGTCCTGCATGAAGATGCCCAGGCTTCCCTTTGCCCTCTAGATAACTCCAGAAGGCTTCGTCTCACACAACGCCTTATCAGCCTTTCCTGCATTCAGTCCACAGATATTTATTGAATACCTGTTATGTGTTGAGTGCTGTTCCAGGCCCAAGGATTGTAGCAGTGAAACAGTGTGAAGACTCCTGCCCTCGGGAACAGTTTTCCTGACGAAGACATACAATAAAGACTAATAAATTATAGTCACACTTGGCTGGTAGTGTTGGGTGGGGAAGGAAAGGAGGTTAGTTAGGGAATGGTTACAATGGAAGAGTCACTGGGAGGTGTCCTCTGAGTAACTGGTGGGAGCTGGACTTGGCCCAGGTGGGTGTTAGGGGACTGTGCACACCTGGAAAGGGCCAGGGAGCAGGCGGTGTTGAGTCATGGCAGATCAGGTCTTGCCCGGTTGTTGAATAAAATCTGAGATTGTAGCATAGCATTTCTCCCTGTGTTTCCCCCCAGACCCTCTCATTTTCCCTCCTCACGCCGTTAAATCTGTGGCTTCTTTTTTCACCAACTATGTGTGTTCTTATGTACATATAAATTCCTAAATATAGCCTGTTGAGTGATACAATGTTACTTGTATTATGTTTTCAGGGCTGACCATTCTACACTGGACAGCCAGGTAGTGTGCTCCTCCCTGGGGAGGGTCCCTCCCCCTCCCCCCTCCTCCTCCCCCCTCTCCCCTCCCCCTCCCCCATCCCCCCTCCTCTCCCCCTCCCCCCCAGCTTTAGTCGTCGCCTATAGTTCTTTGTGTAGGGCCAAGGCCTTGTGGGCTTTCCCCATCCACTGTGGCTTGCCCGTTGGTGTCATCTTTGTCCACGTTTGGGCAGTCATGTTGCTATCGCGTGTAGCTTCCAGTGTCACTAGGAGAGCAGTCTCGCAGAGCTCCCTGACGCCTGGCTCTTACCGTCTTCCTGCCGTCTTCCACAGTGTCCCAACAGCTGAGCCTTCCTTGAGAGGAATGGGCATCTTTCTTGCTCTACAATTCCCAGCAGTTGTCTGCCCACAGTAGACTCTTGTTGTTGTTGTTGTTACTTGGTTTTTAATGGGGTTTGTTTGTTTGTTTGGTATAATTTTTTTTCTTTATTTCTTTGGTTTTGGTTTTTCAAGACAGGATTTCATCTATGTTATCTCTGGCTGTCCTAGAACTCGATCTGTAGACCAGGCTGGCCTCCAACTCACAGAGACCCACCTGCCTCTGCCCCGCCCCTCCGAGTGCTGGGATTAAAGGTGTGCGCCACCACTGCCCGGTGAGCTCACAGGTTTTTCCTTTTAAAGTGGACCCATGGCCTGCAAAGTCTTTCTAGCTATTCAGTTGTCTTCACACGTGGCTGACACAGTGTGATTTTTTTCTAGCTTCAAGGTAGCATGTGTCCCCAGAGCTCTGGGAAGTTGACCCTGTGTTGGAATATCATA